CTTTCTCCTCTGTCTCCCCGTCTCTCTCTCTCTCTCTCTCTCTCTTTCTCCATTATCTCTCTTCTCTCTCTCTCTCTCTCCTTCCCCCTCCCTCCTCATTCCTTCCCCCTCTTGCATTCCTGCTCCCTGCTACTTCCATTTGTTCCAGCTCCTGCTTCGGACTCTGATCCTGCTCGCGCTCCTCCTCCTCCTCCTCCTCCTCCTCCTCCTGCTGCTGCTTCTCTTCCTCATCCTTTTGCTCCTCGCCCTCATGCTCCCCGCCCTCTTGCTGGGCCTCCCCCTCTCCCTTCTTTTGCCCCCCCCGCCTCTCCTCTTGCTGCCGTTCGCGCCAACGAGCGGAGGGAGGGAGAAAGAGAGAGAGAGAGAGAGGAAGGAGAGAGAAGGAGGAGGAGGAGAAGCAGGAGGAGGAGGAGGAGGAGGAGGAGGAGGAGGAGGAGGAGGAGGAGGAGGAGGAGGAGGAGGAGGAGGGGAGGAGGAGGAGGAGGAGGAGGAGGGATAGGAGGAGGAGGAGGGAGGAAGAAGAAGAGGAGGAGGAGGAGCTAGGAGGAGGAGGAGGAGGAGGAGGAGAGGAGGAGGAGGAAGGAGGAGGAGGGAGGAGGAGAGGAGGAGGAGGAGGAGGAGGAGGAGGAGGAGGAGGAGGAGGAGGAGGAGGAGGAGTAGGAGGAGGAGGAGGAGGAGGAGGAGGAGGAGGAGGAGGAGGAGGAGGAGGAGGAGGAGGAGTGGGAGGAGGAGGGAGGGAGCTCCGTAGCCATTTTGGCTCAAGCTGGGCAGCGTCTGCGCTGACAGCCGGTGGCGTCCCTGGGCGGAGCTCGCCGCTGCCGTGTGTGTGTGTGTGTGTTTGCACATGGCCTCCGTGGTGCCCACGTCCTCGCCGCGGCGGCGGCAGGCCCACCTTGTCTCCGGCGCCATCGTCGGCGCTCCGCTCCTGCTCCTCGCCGCTCAGCTCTGCCGCGGCCTCGGCACGGACGCCGCGGCTTTCGTGAGCCTGCCGCCGGCGAGCAGCAGCGCGCTGCGAGGCAGCGCCGCCCCCGCGCCGGAGCTCGGCAGGGCCGCCCCCCTGGGCCCGCCCCCTGCCGCCGCTGCGGGCGTCAGCCTGGCTGGCGTCGCGGGCACCGCCGCCCTGGTGCTGGCCTCCGTGGCGGCAGTTTCCGGCAGCCGGAGGCACAGGGGGCTCACTAGCCGGCGGGCGACGCGGCTCGAGGACCTCAGCGTCGGCGACGAGTTCGAGGGCACCGTGAACCGTGTGGCCAACATCGGCATCTACGTGAACATCGGCGCAGAGAAGGACGCTCTGCTCCCAGCGATGATGATCCCAAAGGGCACCAAGTACAAGGTGGGCGACAAGATCTCCGGCCTGACCATCACGGAGGTCCAGACCGGAGACACCCCGGCCACGCGCAAGATCCGCCTGAGCGTCAAGGTGGCCCCTGTGAAGGTGAAGGAGGGCGAGATCGTCAAGGGCACCTGCACCGGGTCCGCTGACAACATCGGCGTCTTCTTCGACATCGGCGAGCCGTCCGAAGCCCTGGCGCCGCAGCGCTTCCTTACGAAGCCCCTGGAGGAGTACAGCAAGGGCGACGAGGTGGAGCTGAGGGTTGTCTCGATCGTCGGGAACAGGATCACCGTGTCCCCCGACCTCGAGCCCAAGGTGGCCAGCATCAAGATCGAGGACCTGGCCGTGGGCCAGAAGGTCCAGGGCACCATCATCAGGGCCAACGCCCAGTACGGCCTCTTCATGGACATCGGAACTGAGCGCGACGCCCTGTATCGCATCAACCAGTTGGAGAAGCCCGTCGACGAGTACAAAGTGGGCGAGAAGGTCGAGGGCCTGCGCGTCTCGTCCATCAACCTCGAGAGGGAGGAGGTGGAGGTCTCGACGAAGCAGATGCCCTCCGAGTGCAAGGTGGGCGAGGTCCTCGAGGGCACCGTCGAGAGCATCACCAAGTACGGGGTCTTCTTCGACGCCAACCTCACGGTGTCGGTGCTCTGCCCGACCGCGTTCCTGGGCAAGCCGGCCAGCGAGTACACCGTCGGCGAGGTGGCCGACCTCACCATCATGACCATCGAGGTCTCGACCAACAGGATCTCTGTGTCCACCTCGTCGGGCGCACCGATCTCGGACTTCCCCCGCGGCGCGCAGGTCTCTGGCACGATCACCAAGAAGACGCAAGGCGGCCTCAGCATCGACGTCGGCGCCATTCTCAACGCAACTATCCGTGAGAAGAACCTCCCGAAGCCACTGTCAGAGTATAACGAGGGCGATGAGATCGATAACCTCTTCGTCGTCACGTCTGACTCCACCACAAGCCGGCTCGAGGTGAGCTCCACCGAGGCCCTGAATAACCAAGAGGAGGACGATTCGACGTCCCTGAGCGAGCTCAAAGTCGGCGACACGGTGAACGGCAAGGTGTCCCGCGTCATGGAGTTTGGCGTCTTCGTGGACGTGGGCGCTGAGCGCGACGCGCTGTATTCGGCGTCCGAACTCGACAGGCCCATTGGAGAGTTCAAGAAAGGACTGGAGCTGACGGGCCTCAGAGTCATCCAGTCGGACCCGAACAAGCAGCGCCTGGCCGTCTCCTCGAGGAAGCTTGCTGGCGACTTCTCTGAGGGCGATGTGATCGATGGAAAGGTTGACAAGGTCCTGGCTTTCGGAGCTTTCATCGAGATCGGAGCCTCGTTCCAGGCGCTGCTTCCGACGCGAATGATGAAGGACGGCGACGCTTGCAAGAGTGGTGATGAGCTCAAGGGCCTGGTCGTCGTCAATGTCGACGCCGCAGAGAACAAGATGGTTCTCGCAGAGGCTGGATTCGAGGCCGCGGGAGGCAGCGGCATCAAGTTCGGCGACCTGTCGGTGGGCCAGCAGCTCAAGGGAACCGTTAAGACGCTCAAGGAGTACGGCGCCTTCGTCGACATCGGCCTCAGGAGGGACGCGCTGCTGCCCACGGCTTTCGTGAACGCGAAGGAGGGCATGTCCATGGAGACGCTTCAGGTCGGCGACTCGCTTGACGTATACATCGCCAGGATGGACGCTACTGACGAGAAGATCAGTTTGTCCCTGACGGAGCCCTCCGAGGCCAGCGTCGTGGCCCCGGGCTCCCGCGTGGGAGGAGGCGGCAAGCTGCCGCCTGGGGACGTGCCGTGCGACCCCCTGCGGACCGCGCGCATGGTAGCCATGAACGCATGGGGCATACCGGACATGGAGGTCCTTGACAAGTACCACGTCCCGCTCGAGCAGTGGGCGGTGAACATGCCCGAGCTCTTCGAGTTCTCGGAGAAGGAGACCGACGTCGTCCTGTTCCCGGACTCCAAGCTGCACTTCACCGGGAGCGAGGAGATCAAGCAGTCGGTGCCGTTCTACATCCCCGTGCCCGTGCAGCTGCGCGCGGACCCCACAGCGCCGGCCGAGATCCCCGAGCCGAGCCTCCATGACACCGTCATCTCTTACGACTACGGCACGAGCCACAAGATCCACCGCAAGTACATGCAGCCGCCGCTCAACGACCCTAACTGGAGATGGAGGCCGATTCCGGGCGAGGTCGGCAGGTACTGGGCGCTCGACGCGAACAAGAGGTGGGGCGGCAAGGAGCAGAGGGAGCCGCTCCCCGACTGGAAGGAGACGTACTAGGCTGCTCGCCGCGAGGGGCGAGGGCAGGCGGGCGGCTCCCGGCGGCGGCGGTGAGGGATGCGCTCCCTGCTCGCCGGCATTGCCGCCTCCACCTCTGCCGGAGGAGGAGGAGGAGGAGGAGGAGGAGGAGGAGGAGGAGACGCCAGTAGAGGGTGAGTCCAAGTCGCCCGAACCCACTCTACACAGAGAAACTAAACAAAAAACTCGAGGGCCCCAGATCAGTATCAGCCAGGACCCAGGACCCTCAGCCGCTATCTAGGCGGCAGCCCACTCCTCAACCTCTGGAGGCGGGTCTTCTGAGCGCTGAGAGTCTTGGGGACCTCCGAAGGTCCCTGACAAGGGGCTTTGAGACCAAGCACCCGCCCAGACTCCCCAGCAAAGCACGCACACCGCTCACAGAAGACGAACGCACCCGCCTCAGCCATCCGATGGCCGAGGTCGCGGAACAGGGCCAAGTCGGCAAAACGCCGAGCCCCAGAGCCCTCCCCAGAGCCCGGCACCCAGGTGGGGCCCGTCTCAAGGACCCTTGCCGCCGCCTCCAGGGCGACATGGACCGCATCGGAGGTCGGCCTCCAATCGGAGCAGCGAGAGAAAGCACGGGCGGCCTGCCAGCGCTGCACCTCGGTCGGCGTGCAGCGCGCCGAGCAGGACCTGAGGGCGCGGAGGCGTGGTCCTGGTCGGTGGCGACTCCACACCGCCTGCATCTCCATTCCTGGGCGGCGTCGCTCCTATACATGCTGTGGCACGCGAGGGGCTCACCAGGCTCTAAAATTTCAACGGGGGTTGGGCGGGGGCCAGGCCTCGGACGAGAACGAGCAGCTCCCTCCGACAACGACGACGCCCCAAGCCCCAGATCAATGGCCCGACCCCCAGCCCAAGCCAGATACTTGGCGAACTCCTGACACTCCTTGAGCGCGATCCGAAACAGATCAGCCGTGCCCTGTCCAACCATCTGGCTGGCAGCACCAGCCTTAGCAAAGAAATCAGCCCAGGCATTTCCCAGGACGTACAAAAACGGCGGGCCAGATCCAGGGGTCGCCAGGGCCGCATCCGACAGGTCCCTATGGGCAGGACACCAATGGGTGGTGGGCGGGACCCCTCCGCGACGCACTACCGCCGCACGAATCTGCCGCCACACCGCGGCATGCTCAGCCCCTGGACCTTCAGACTCCGCACTCCACTCCTGAGCTTCATTGGCCAGGCCCAAAAGATCAGTGACTATGACCTGCAGCGACGGGATTTTTTCCACCGCCCGCAAATAGGCGACTCGCTCGGCCTCGCCAACCGTCTGACTGGCGCCTCCAAGCCTGCCATAGCACGCTCTTAGTGGCGTGCCCGACGCGCACAGCTGGACGACGCCCCAGCCACACGCCCTAATTTCTGGTTGAGACGACCACATACCCGACCCATCCGTGAATGCAGCATTTGACCACTGCGAGGGATCAGATTCCCAATCCCCCCACCAAAAAATCGGCGGGTCACACGGCGGGTCAGGAGGTCTCATCGGGAGCAACGGGAGCCCAACCGACAACTCAAAACTCTCAGGGTCCAGAGCGGCCCCTGGGCGCCCAACAGGCCCCTGGTCCAGAAACCGATCACGAGTTTTGGCCAGGGACCCAGAAATAGGAACTTCATCTTCAAAATCCAACAGCCGCTCACGCAGCACAGGGCACTCGAGCAACAGGTGACCACACGTCTCTCTGCCCGCTCCGCAGCCCCTACACTTAGGATCGGGGGCGAGCCCTTTATCATGCAACTTGGCCTGGGGCCACCAGGAGTCAGACCAAAGAGACCGAAGGATTCCAGCCGACCTGGGGTTTTGGAGCGCGGCCCACTTGGACCCAGCGCAGGCGCGGATCCCACGGGGCCACAACTCGGCGTCCGCGGGGAAACCAGGAAAATGAGCCTGGATGCGACGCATCTGCCAGCGCTGGATGCCAGCACAGAGCAGCTTGATTAAATGCTGCGGATCAATCTGTAGCAAAGAGTACACCATTCCTTGATCGGAACGGATCAGAACAGAAGACTCCATGCACCAGTCAACACGAAGGAGAGACAGCGCCACCACCGAAAGCGGGCCCGAGGCATGGAGCCAGGAGAATTTCAGCCCCCGCTTTTCGGCCAAGGCCCTCCACGCCCTCTCGAGCGTACCCAGGGACACAGTTTGCATCCAAACAACCTGGGCGTAGTGTTTGACTGGGGCGATCGTGGCTTCAAAAATCGGGTCACACCACGGATCCGCCTGAGACGCCAAGTAGACCGTCAGGGACCCCCCACGACCCTTGGCGCCCACCAAAGCCCCCGCAGCAGCTCTCAACTTCCGAAGTTCGGCGTCCGTGGTCCCAGAAACAGCACAGCAATGACTAGCACCTGGAAGCAGGCCAGTGCGCCACAGGACGGACACACGAGTCCCTGCCACCTTCTGTAGAGGATAAACACGCTTCATGCGGCAACCAAGCTTAGCGATTCTCTGTCGGGTGAGCGGCCGCCTGCGCTCACGCCCAGAGAGCTCGTGACCAAGGTTACGCATGTTACGCTTGGCTTCCAGCCGAACCGCTCGAGCCCAGGGTTTCGAGGCCCGCAGGACCTTACGATTGGCCACCACGTAGCCCGACTTCCCCGAGGCCGAGTCCTGGAGAACGATCCCCAGAGGTTTAACATCAGCTTTAAAGTTGGCCAACGCAGTAAACAGTTTAGAGATCCCACCCGCCTCCGCCCCCACCCACTGAATCGTGAGGTCATCGACCAATGCGCGGGGCACGACGCCACTCGCTCGGACTCGCCGCACAGAGCGCAGGGTGAGGAGCGTGAGGAGGGAGGTAGAATGGGCACAGCCTGCAAGCATTCCCTGCCATGATACAAAGGTCTCTGAAAAGGAATTGAAAGCCTTCAGTACCCTCGGCTGGCGATGGTATTCGATCACCATCCAGGCCAGCCGAAGGGGAAAACCATGGTGGCGGGCCTCACAAATCAGCTCACCAGGGCTGACGGACTCGTAGGCCTTCCACGCGTCCACCGCCGCAGTCGCCGTGTGCCAGCCAAGCAGCGACGCGACCTCCACCATCAGGTTATGCTCGAACGCCGCCGCCGAGGAAGTGCGACCAGCACCTCCAGCTCCCCAGACATCACGAAGATCTGTCTGAGCAACCCACTGCCGACTGATGGAGCTTCGGGCCTTAGCCCACACCCGAACCAGCGTCTGTACCAAGGCGATGAGACGAGACCCGCATCCTTCCTTCGGCAACCTGACCAGCGTGGTGAATATGCGGTTGTCTGGCCAGAATCCCAAACTCTCGCACCGTTGAAACAACTTTGACAGCGCGATGAGACCTGCGTCCGAGAGGTGCCACAACGCTCGAGGAGCAATCCCCGACTGACCCACCGCAGTCTTCGCCTTGAATTTCAGGCAGACAACCCGCAGCATGGCCACGGACATCTCGGGCAGGTGGTCCCAGTCGTCGAAGTCGGAGGGCCGAGACCACTGCGTGAGGCCATGCACCGTCCAGATCTTCTTCCACCTTTCCATCTCCCGCTGCACTAATTGATGGGGGCTGGCCCGAGTGGTCTGCTCCAGCACCTCCTGCAACGGATGAACACGGGTAAAACGATGCGCCATTGAAGCACCGCCACTTAACGCATCACGAGCCCACTGACGCCACCTGGCCCCTTGCTCACGCTCGAACTTCTTCCTAGCGTCATCAGCACGATCCAGGAAGCACTGTACTGTGTGTCCAGCCACAGGGTCTGTCCAGACCGTGATGCCACGAGCCAAGAACTGCGCCAGGTCCACATCCAGCTTGCCAAGCGTCTCCGACGCCCGACCAATCTTCAAGTAGAACTGCTTCAGCTCACACAGCAACTCAACCAAACGAGACGTCTGAGCAATAGTGACCGAGCACACCACGTTGGCCACCATCAGCCTCTGCCCAAGCTCACAAACCTGCTGCCGCATAGCGCGACCATGCCTGAGCCAGCTTGCCGCCACCTGCAGCGCCGCCACCTGCGGGGTCTGGTACACTCTCCGCCGAGGGGGCTTCCACTCAAGCTTCACCATGCGAAAGGCAACGTCACCCCCACGGCCTCCATGCGACGAACGATCCGAATGTCTGTGTCCCCATCGATCAGAAAGCTCACATTCAATACTATGCAACACATGGTCCCAAGCGCGCTGCAGGCCCACCTGGCCCTCAGCTGTCAGAACACAATGTAATGCACGTTCCCATTCACGAGTCCGCGGGAAAGGCGCACAGCCAATCGGGGCCTCGGACCCCCAGCCACGAGGCTCCACGGGCAGGCGAGCCCACGCCTCAACATCTTTCACAGCCAAGGGAAAGTGAACAGGGTGATGTGGGTACAGCTCAGACTCCAGATCCACCCAAGGCGTCTGAGGGCAGATGGAGGGCTCAGCGAGCCCATCCAACCTTTGAGGGACAGCTCGGCTGGTTGCAACCAGTCGGAGGATGTGGCAAAGATGTTGTTGTGGGAAATCCCCCGATCACCTCCACAGTACATGTTGGCCTCTGCAGCTCGACACCTGGGCCGATGATATGTCCCAGTGCGCTGTGGGACACAGCGCGGTTGTACATGGCCAGACGGTACGAATCGTCATGGTGGTAGTGACCAAATGCGTGGGTACGGAGATGAAGATTTCAAACACACGCACCTTGACCACAAGTCGCCCATCGCTGGGGCTTGAGATTGTTGAGGAGTTGCAGGGCCGTGGCATCGAGCCCAGGCTCTCGCAGCGAGTGAAAGATCCGTGTGGACGGGACTGGGAGCAGGCAGGCGGTGAGGACGATGAAGAAGCGTCTTGATGCAGCTGCCGGCCTCGCTGCCATGATTACCAAAGTCGCTGGGTCAACCCCCCGAGCGGCTTGGCTCTGGACGCCTGGCTTCCTCCCGCAGACCACCTGGGGATTTGAAGGGATGGGCATGGGGCATGGCGCCATCCGCCCTTGGGAAACCGAGGGCCCAAGGTCGCCCGCCTCGCAGGGCTTCGGAGGGCGGGTGGGTGCGCCGCAGGGGCCATCCGATTGACCCCCGGCGGGGTCGAGGTCTGGCCGAGGTGCTTCTCCGCGAGGCGCGGGCTCCGCTGCAGCTAGCGTGGCGCAAGGGTCAGGGGCCCTCTCGGGGGGGCGGTCGCCGCCCGCCTGCTCGATGTCGGCTGGGCGGCCCCTGGACCTCGGCTCCGGGAGGTCCCTGCAGATGGCACTGCGTGGCACCTCGCGGACGGCGGGTCCGACAAGCTGCCCCAGTGGGCCCACCGGGATCCCCCTATAGATGCCCAGTGTTTGGAGCGTGGCTGCGAAGCATTGCAACGAGGTCGGGGCCCAAGATGACGTCGACCGAACGGTGGCGCCGTGAGGCTCCGAGACTGTCTCCAGCGGGCGGAGCAGCACGAAATAGCTGCTGCTCCAGAAGGGTTTGTAGCTGGCGCCTCATGGCCAGGAGCCCGGCAATCCGAGGCGGAGGCGAGGGGTGCAGTGCACGGAGTGTGCCAGGGGGCTCTGGTATGGCGCAGGCTGGTGCGATTCCGCCACCGCCGGGGCTCCACCCCGAGGGCTGGCTCGTCGGGAGACGGCGTGCCCTTGAGTCTACGAGGCGTAGTGCGAGGATGGCAGCCCTCGACATGGCTGATGCTGATTTCGACGATCGCATTCGGCAGGAGGCCGAATATCCCTTGGCCAGCCTCCCTTTCGCAGATGATGAGACCGAGCTGATGGGAGCGGGCTTTGACGGCAACTGCGCCTAGGCAGCTCCGAGGCAATTCAGGAAGACGCCCGCCTGCCCTAGATGTGGAGCTCCTCAGGAGACATTGTTTCACCAACTTTGGGAGCGCCCCGCCAACGAAGGGCTGGAAGGCATCCACCCAGAATTGCTCGATGAAGCAAAATCAGGAGCGGATCACTTCCCCTGCTACAGGCTGCGAGGCATACCACAAGCTGGGTGGATTCTCGCCTCGACCACGGATCCAGCGGATTGTCCCACGGTAGTTTCGCCATCCTTTGTCGAAGGGACTATCGAGCTTCAGCTGGGGAATGGGTGGGTTCGGATGGTTTGGGGGGGAAGTAATCATGTGAGATTCGCTTGAGACGGTGTGACGGGGGTTACGTTATGTTCAATGAAACCACCCTATGTAATGGGTTCGGGCCACGGGGCATCGCCTGGCCACAGGAAACTCGTTCCGTCGGCAGAGCTGGAAGAGGCTATCCAGGCTCTCCGACACACCAGCGACCCGAGTACACCGGTTGTCGATAGCGCCGCCGTGGTGCGCACTTGCTTCAGTGGGGCCACCGCCAGGCAGACTGTCAGCAGAGCGTCATGGAAGGAAGTCTGGGGACCCGCCGAAGGTGTGGCAAAGTTCAGGAGGGGAAAACAAAAACACACAGACAGAATGCATCGCCGATTCTCCGGAAGATATGCAAAACTATGGGAAGTGGGGTGGGGGAAGACAAAACCCCCCAATATATATATATATATATATATATATATATATATATATATATATATATATATATATATATATATGGGGAATCGTTTAATTTGTGTGTACTTATTTGTGTGTCCTGGGGCCCCTTCAAAAGTGTGAGACCCCGCGCTGCCTCGGAGACCGGAGGGCGACGGGATCACCCCCCGCCCGCTGGCTGGCCAGCGGGCCGGCCGACCCTGCGGTCGAGCAGGGGGCCACCCAGGCCCAGCCCTCCTCCTCCTCCCCCTCCTCCTCCTCCTCCCTCTCTCCTCCTCCTCCTCCTCCTCCTCCTCCTCCTCCTCCTCCTCCTCCTCCTCCTCCTCATACTCCTTCTCCCTTCCTCTCCTCCTCTCCTCCTCCTCCTCCTCCTCCTCCTCCTCCTCCTCCTCCTCTCCCTCCTCCTCCCCTCCTCATACTCCTTATCCCTCCTCCTCCTCCTCCTCCTCCTCCTCCTCCTCCTCCTCCTCCTCCTCCTCCTCCTCCTCTCCAAGGGTGGGCCAGAAGTCCAAGGAATCGACACCCCGAGGAGCTCTGTTGGCTCCCCAGCCGTGGCTGGACGGGCCCCACGAGCCCCCCGGCCTGGGCCGGAGGGGCCCTGGAGCCCCCCAGCTGGAGCTGGACGTGCTCTGGAGCCTTCCAGTCTTGGCCGGACGGGCCCTGGACCCCCCCAGCCTCAGCCGGACGGGCCCCAGACCACCCCAGCCGTAGCCAGACGGGTCCCAGAACCCCGCCAGTTTGGCCAGCGGGAGTCCAGATCACCCCGGCCTTGGCCAGAGAGGCCCAGGGGCCTTCGCGCTTCCACGGAGTTTGCCGGCCTGGGTCGGGGGGCCCTGAGCCCCCCAGACGTTCGCCCACATCCCATGGCCATCCAACCTTCCCATGCCCGTCCAATTTTCCCCTTGCCAATATCGATCCTGGCAACGATGCAGGCCTTGCTCGAATTTTCCCATGTCTATCCACATTCCCCCAGTGACCGCCCAACTTCCACACGCCTCCGCGCCAATGCGGGAGCTCCCTCATGGTCATCCAACCTCCTCCACCCCAAAGCACGCCAGACACGCATAGCGAAGGCGCGTTTCCTTCATGGGATGCGGATCTCATGAAGTGAGGTGTTGGCCAGAGATGTGCATTGTGCGAATCTGCTCGAACACCTCACATCGGTCGCTTCTGAGGTTACCAGGCGGGCTGCAGAGCTGCATGGGCCCACCGAAGCAAACGAGCGCAGTAATGCCAAACGGGTTGATTTGCAGGAGGCCTTCACTCGGGCCGGACGAACGGTGGGCATTGGGAAGGGGGGGGTGCGAAATTTCTGCATGCAGCTGGTTTCGGCCTCACCGCAGAGCCGCCTCCCGGGAAAATCAGCTATACGCGAGCCGATTCTCCAACGCCCCCTGTGCTATCCCCCCCTTTCGCCCGACCTGACCCACGGGTTCCACACACCAGTCCCGGGAGGACTCCAATGGTCAGGAGGGAAAACACACAGACACAATGAATCGTCGATGCCCCAGAAAGTATGGGAAAATATGTGGGAAGTGGGGGGGGAGACAAAACCCGAGAAAATAAGGGAAAGTATGGGGAATCCTCTTGTTTGTGTGTCTTCATTTGTGTGTGTGTGTGTGTGTGTGTGTGTGTGTGTGTGTGTGTCCCAGGGCTCCTTCACAGTGGGCGTCTCGAGCGTGAGAGGGCGCGGGGCCCCGGCCTCCAAAAGGCAGCGCTCCGGCGCGGCTGCGCGAGAGGCCCGCCGGGGGAGGCCGGGCCCGTGGCGCGGTTCGCGCTGCTCGGGCGTCACCCGGGGGCTCTACGGGTGTGGAAGTCGATTCTCATGGAGAGGAAGCATGTCTGCACGAACGAGGTGGGCACGGAAAGAATGGGTGCGATGCCCAACAGCAGTTCCTCTTCATTCTGAGCAGGACTCGCTGTCCGCGCCGCCGCGGCCTGTGTCCATCCGAGGCAGAAGACCGCCTGCGCAACAGCGGCCGTTGTTGGTTTGGGGCAACATGTGTTGTTGGGCACTGTACCCATTTTTCCGTACCCATTTCGGGCGTCCAAATCGGTACCGATCTTACGGGTTCCCGCCTTTTTTGAGGGCATATCCTTGATATTGGCCTCGCTTTTGGCTTGCCCATCTCGGGGATATGGATCAGTTCGAGGCTGGTTCATGGAGGCCTGCCCAGGATGACACGGGGGACATGGGATGACTGCCTTCCCGTGCAGCCTCTCCTAAAGCAAGGGGTGCCCGATGGAGGTGCCGACGAACGGACCCCCTCCCCTCCCCGCGGCCTGCGCCGCAATCGCGAGGGAGGGGGGGGGGGAGGGAGGGAGGGAGGGAGGGAGGGAGGGAGAGGGAGGGAGGGAGGAGGGAGGGAGGAAGGGAAGAGGAGGAGGAGGAGGAGATGGAGGAGGAGGAGGAGGAGGAGGAGGAGGAGGAGGAGGAGCAGGAGGAGCAGAGGAAACGGCAAGCTAGGCGCGGCCGCGCCACATCCGGCATCCGAACCCCCGCCTCCCATCCCTTCCCATTGCGCTGACTTCTTCTTCTTCTTCATCCGCGGACGCATGCCATAGCCGACCTGGAGCTCCACAAGAGGCCGCATCGTGTGATGCGCATGCGCAGTCGGAAGACGAGGGAAGCCTGTGCGACCTGTGCGATCTGGGGGACCTCTTGTGGCCTGTGAAGCCCGTGAGTGCCTTGCCGTGAGGCCGCGCTCCTTCTGTCCCCCCCTCTTTGTTAATTCAAGCTTCGCGCGGCCCGCTTAGCTTCGACCGGAAGAGGTGCGCTCTCGACCCGCGAATCAAAACACTGTGAAGCCCGCGAGTCCTGCGGCACCTTTGGGACCCGCGGAACCCGCTGGTCCTGTGGGAGCCGTGGGGCCAGCAGGACGTGCGAGGCCTGCGGGACCCGTGGCACGGGCGGGACCTGCAGGAGCTGCGGGATTTGTGGGGCCTTGTCGAGCCTCTGTGGGGCCCATGCGACATGCGACACCTCTGGTGCATGTGGGACCTGAGTTTACCTGCCTGAGCTGTGAGGCCCGTGGGGCATGCGAGGCCTGCGACACCTGTGGGGCCTGTGGGACCTGTCAGACTTGGTGTTGCTTGTGGGACCTGTGGTGCGACCTGCGACACTTGTGGGTCCTGTGGGACCTGTGGGACCTGTGGGGGCTGCGAAATGTGTGGAAGATGCGGGACCTGTGAGATCCAGAACAGTGCCCAACGCTGGGACGGGAGTGCCACTCTGAACGACGGGAACACTGCGCCGATCCGAAAATGAGGCCTGCGCTGCAGCGAGAGTACCATTTTTGAACATGTGCATTCCCTCGGATTACCAGCGAATTCGCGCAAATCCTGCGCGCACAAGAAACAGGACGCGGGGGGGTTGCGAATACTATTAGGACATATTCGGGGGAGAGGAGAGTAGTATTCAGATCGCTTCATTATTGTCAGTAGAAGGAGGAGCAGGCGGAGGAGGGAGGAGGGAGGAGGGAGGAGGAGGAGGAGGAGGAGGAGGAGGAGGAGGAGGAGGAGGAGAAGGCGGAGGAGGTGGAGGACGGATGAGGAAGGATGGAGGGGGAGGAGGGTGGCAGGCCAAGGCAAGCGCACCGTCAAGGCCAATGCCGGTACAATGGTTAGGGGAGTATTGTGTTCCGTATCCGTGATGGCTCAAGATTGCTGTCCCTCACCACCCACCAAACCACCCCAACCCAACCCGAAGGCTCAGATTTACCCTCGATTTCTAGTGTGGGGGGGTCCGGGAACATCGAACAACACATATGGAGCCCATACCCCCCCCAACCCGAAATTCGGGTCTTCGAGTTGGGTTGGGGTGGTCTGGTAGGTAGTCAGTCCCGAGTCCTAGTGAGAGCAGCCGACGCTTGGAATCGTGGTATTCGGGTCGGGGGGATTCTTGGTCTGAAGATGGCCTCTCTCAAGTTTGCCTCGTGCTTGCTTGGTGGAGGGTGCGTGGAGACGCTCACGCGGGGGAGCAGCGCGGGAACTCGAGCGAAGGAGGATGAGGATGAGGATGAGGGAGGGAGGGAGGGAGCGGAGGGAGGGGGAGAGGAGGGAGGGAGGGACGAGGGGGGGACGAGGAGGAGGGAGGGCGGGCGGGGAGGAGCGCGGCAGGAGCAGCGAAGGAGGACGAGGAGGGAGGCGGAGCGGAGCGGAGCGGAGCCCGGCGGGAGCCCGGCGGGAGGACCGCCGCCGCGCGCGGAGCAGCCGGGCGCCCCGCCCTCCGCCCCCCCAGGCGCGCGGCGGCGGGCGGCGGCGGCGGCGCCGCGAGCGGCGGCGAGGCGGCCGGCGCCGAGGCCGAGCCCCCGGGGGGGGGGCCGCCCGCGAGCGCCCCAACGAGACTCGGCAGAGGGGGCCTCCGAGGTCCGCAATATGGATCGCCCCAAGGCAGCTCAAGGGCGAGCGCGGCGGCTCGGCCAAGCCGTGCGAGCCCGGCTGCAGAGAGAGAGCCTCGATCCCTCAAAATCGGGGGCGGAAAAGAGGGGGGTGATGACTAGGGGGGGGTGGATCTCATGGCGGGGGCCATGATATTTCTCCAGATTGCATGGCGCCTCTTCTTGTTTCATTACGTCCCTGGCCCCCCCGCTGGGCCGCGCGCATGCCGCCGGTCATGATTTGCACCCCCCCCTCTTGGACACCCCCCTCTTGGCCGCTCCCGACAAAAGGGGGGGCCCTCCGTGCCCCGGGGCGTCCACGGGGAGGTCCAGGCCTCCGGGAGTTTTTGTTAAGTCGGGCAGGGTCCCCGGATACGGGAGGAATCTTCAGGAATACTCGAAGCAAATGTTTCGGGGACAGTTCTTGAGCGGACCGTACGCCGCACCGCCGACCCCTTGGGGGGCTCCTGGTAGGTCTCTCGGGGGCCTCCGGGCAGCACTTTTGAAGCCCTTTGGGGTGCCGTTTTGGG